GACGAAAGCATTGAGCAGGTAGTGGTGAGTCTTTGCATCATCAGTCCATACTTATTCGGTTTAGTTTTCTTGTAGGCACAGGAAGGACATCGGCCCACGAGCATCTCGTATTTTGTAGGGGACTCACCCGAAATATAACAATTTCGACAGTTCTCTATGAGTGTCTCGAAAATTTCACGTATTTGGAGAAATTTATCGGCATTTCTCGAGTCACAGGGTTATTATTTTCCAAATTGGTTGCCACGGACTTTAGTTCAGGTAAATGCGTAATAATCGACCAGTTGCAGGCGCTCGTTTTGACCAATTGTACATGTTTTTTCCATAGGCATAGCGAGGTCGCCCATAGGAAGTTGTTCAGGTTGATCGATAGCAGCGTCCTCCGTGTCGCGTAGTCTATAGTGTATTGTTCATCCGTCAACAACGAAAAAATCCATTGTGAAGGAAGTTCAAATCGTACACGCAACTGACATCCTCGGATCAAATTTGACCGCAAAGTCAACAAACCAACAATTGTGATGTTTAAATTAAACTGTGGTTTGAGGTATACGTGCTCATACCGTATGAGAAGTCACGGGACCCCCACCACATAACTGAGAAAGCTCGAATCATCCGACGATATCATTAAAGGATTAATTTCTATATTCTTGAACGAATCTATAAAATCAAAGTGGCTGGGTTTCAATTTACATAGCTCTTTGTATGGTCTTGTTTGCTGATCAACATTATATGATTTCTAGACATGTTCAATCTGTGCAGCTTCTTCACTTTCATATTAATGTCAATAAGAGCATTTCATCCATTTTTGAATAAATGTGGTTCATCACAAATTGTAGAAATACTCTGAGCATTGACTATAAAATGGAATGGACTTGATCCGTGAGTATTCTCCGAGCAAATCGTCTCAAGTGCGTTTTTGATCGTTGCGCCCTGATTAGAAATAGTGCCAACAACGCACAAACCAAGTCGCTGCTAGTTTGTGATCACATGAACAATAATCGTTTTCAGATCTGGGATTCTTGTATCTTTTACTAGATAATAAGCCACAACCTGCTTATAATTTTTACGAATCCCTCTTATCATGGAAGTAAGGGCATGATTTCTGATAAATCACTTTTTCAGAGTTCTAGTTGATTTTGTTACCTCAGAATTCAAGATTTATTAGCTGAAAATTGTACACTGTGAGCACTGGGATCAGCCCTAAACTTTGTCCAAACCCTGCAATAATCGTAAACACTAAACAAGGGTAGACATATTTCTAGTTTAACTGCCTGAAGATTTTCTCTATGGTTTATACGTAACTCTCCACCTATTATCTCATTTTTGTACATGTTCTGGGAGAACTCAACTTGCTCCCTATAAAATGCAACGTCTTCCTGCACAGGTGGTTCTGGTTAAGTGCCAGCCTGCTTCGGGTTTGTAATTAGTTGTTGCAATTTTCTGATTTCGTCGTCCTTTTTCATAATCCAGATTTCGTTTTGGCATTCCAGTTCAGCCATTTGATCCTGAAGCTCTTTTATAGTAGAATCATTATGGCATCGTATATCTGAGATTTTAAATGAGTGGTTGACCTCACGTTGGTTACTCTCGTCCATCAGACTCTTTACGTCATTTCTCAGTTTAGATTCAAGTTCTTTTAGGAAGCCAATTTCATCTTGCAGTTCAGCAATGTGTGACATCGTTACATCAGTTTGTGCAGCAGCACTTAAAGAATGTTGCATATCTTCGTACTCAGCGTCAAGCATAGCTTCTAAGTCTGCAACCTTTTTTTTGACTCAATATTTTGAGCTTCAAGAGATGGTTTAGGGCTCTCTGATCTTCCTAGGTTCTTCAGTTGAGTACGCAGCATCTCTATTTCTGACTCGTATGTTTTTAGTCTTTTTATTTTTTTTTCCAGAAAATCGAGTCTGTATTGCAAGTCGATGAAATTCTTGCGCTTTTTGAGAATTTTTTTGAACTCTTTCTATTTCTTCGTTGTACGCATCCGTTACTTGGCGGAGTTCCTGACTGTAACGATCGAATTTAGAATTGGCTTCTGTGAGCTGTTTCTTCAGGTCCAAAATCTCCAGCTGATTATCTAGTTTAGTGAATTCTCTAAGCTCATTGAAAGATTCTTCCAGTTCTTTGAGTTGTCTTTTAAGTACACTTGCACGTCTTCAGCTATCACAGATTCTGCTTCGGCTAGTGCCTCCTCATATGTCTCTTCTTGAATAGGCCTCATTTCACGTCCGGATGATTCTTCTTTGGGTGGATAATTTTTCAATGGCATATACCCTAGGGATGCTTTTTTAGGTGATACGTTGCCATAGTGTCCAAAAGTATGACGTCTTAATGTTTTTTTCGGTGTTGATGCCGAGGCTCCCATTTGAAAGCGCCCGACAATAGATACTTCCGTTTTTAGTCTTTCTATCTCGAGCAGATACTCTTGTTTGCTTTTATCCATCTCTTTTAGCTTAATTGCCTGCTTTTTGAGCCGAGTTTCGAGATCGCGAGTCAAGTTCTGATATCCTTGAAGTGTCTCTTCTGTAGCTGACAAGATGTTTACTTTCGTTTTATTTTTGACAGTTTTAGTGCTTTGGGCGAATTCTGGTGTAGATCTAGTCTCCTCCTCTGCAGCTAAAGTAACATTCCCGATAATCAATGATTTGGCATTACCGCCAAGAGCCTGTGAGAGCAGTCTAGTCAATTTCGAATCGCGATAACTGATAAACTCCTTCCCCTCGCTTAGTTGCCTTATCACATTTCCTAATACTGACAAAGATTTGTTTATGTTAGCCCCCTCTTTAAGACGCTCACCAGCAGCTTTCGTCAGAGAAACTCTCTCAGAACCAGCTAAGTCCATTAAGTTAAGGTAGCTTATATGTACAGGTCCATCTTTCTGATTGGCATCTTTCGACTCCAGAATAATCCGGAAAATCGTGTGTGATCGAGATGACCTCTCATTCATGCGAGTAGCTGCAACTCGTCTGATCTTATTGCCCTGCATCATGTTCTCCATAACTTTATCAACATTGTCTACGACAGCTTCCCTTGCATCAAGCAGCACATTTCCTTTGATATCTTCTCTTATAGTTAAACCCTGATTGCTCTTATCCAGGAGGTCATTGATCTTTTCATTGTAGATTTCAATATAACTGCATCTAATCAAGTACCTCTTATCAACCTGGTCTGCCACATGCTGGAATAACTGATTGGATACTAATTGGAAAAGCCCAGGATCTGTTTTATTGCCCAAAATGGTGTGTGTGTTTTGCCAGAAGATGTTTGGCCATATGCAAATATTGTGGCATTGAAACCTTCCATGAAGGAATCGACTAAAGGTTTTACTACAGATCCATATACATCTGAATTTGTACATTCCTGCTTAAATACATGGTCGAATATATAAACCTCTCCATGGCGACTACTTTCATCGGCTTCCCATATGCAGTTTACTCTTACGTTCCAAAGACGCTCTAGACCATCGGCTACTTCGCGGTGGATCATTGGTCTGATCTTTGTGGCTACTTTAATATTGTCGGAAGTCATTTTGGAAGCTTGAACTGAAATTTAATTAGAACTAGGGCTATTTCACGGGTTATAAAGAGGGGCACTTTTCATAATCCAGATTTCGTTTTGGCATTCCAGTTCAGCCATTTGATCCTGAAGCTCTTTTATAGTAGAATCATTATGGCATCGTATATCTGAGATTTTAAATGAGTGGTTGACCTCACGTTGGTTACTCTCGTCCATCAGACTCTTTACGTCATTTCTCAGTTTAGATTCAAGTTCTTTTAGGAAGCCAATTTCATCTTGCAGTTCAGCAATGTGTGACATCGTTACATCAGTTTGTGTAGCAGCACTTAAAGAATCTTGCATATCTTCGTACTCAGCGTCAAGCATAGCTTCTAAGTCTGCAACCTTCTTTTTTGACTCAATATTTTGAGCTTCAAGAGATGGTTTAGGGCTCTCTGATCTTCCTAGGTTCTTCAGTTGAGTACGCAGCATCTCTATTTCTGACTCGTATGTTTTTAGTCTTTTTATTATTTTTTTCCAGAAAATCGAGTCTGTATTGCAAGTCGATGAAATTCTTGCGCTTTTTGAGAATTTTTTTGAACTCTTTCTATTTCTTCGTTGTACGCATCCGTTACTTGGCGGAGTTCCTGACTGTAACGATCGATTTTAGAATTGGCTTCTGTGAGCTGTTTCTTCAGGTCCAAAATCTCCAGCTGATTATCTAGTTTAGTGAATTCTCTAAGCTCATTGAAAGATTCTTCCAGTTCTTTGCGTTGTCTTTTAAGTACACTTGCACGTCTTCAGCTATCACAGATTCTGCTTCGGCTAGTGCCTCCTCATATGTCTCTTCTTGAATAGGCCTCATTTCACGTCCGGATGATTCTTCTTTGGGTGGATAATTTTTCAATGGCATATACCCTAGGGATGCTTTTTTAGGTGATACGTTGCCATAGTGTCCAAAAGTATGACGTCTTAATGTTTTTTTCGGTGTTGATGCCGAGGCTCCCATTTGAAAGCGCCCGACAATAGATACTTCCGTTTTTAGTCTTTCTATCTCGAGCAGATACTCTTGTTTGCTTTTATCCATCTCTTTTAGCTTAATTGCCTGCTTTTTGAGCCGAGTTTCGAGATCGCGAGTCAAGTTCTGATATCCTTGAAGTGTCTCTTCTGTAGCTGACAAGATGTTTACTTTCGTTTTATTTTTGACAGTTTTAGTGCTTTGGGCGAATTCTGGTGTAGATCTAGTCTCCTCCTCTGCAGCTAAAGTAACATTCCCGATAATCAATGATTTGGCATTACCGCCAAGAGCCTGTGAGAGCAGTCTAGTCAATTTCGAATCGCGATAACTGATAAACTCCTTCCCCTCGCTTAGTTGCCTTATCACATTTCCTAATACTGACAAGATTTGTTTATGTTAGCCCCCTCTTTAAGACGCTCACCAGCAGCTTTCGTCAGAGAAACTCTCTCAGAACCAGCTAAGTCCATTAAGTTAAGGTAGCTTATATGTACAGGTCCATCTTTCTGATTGGCATCTTTCGACTCCAGAATAATCCGGAAAATCGTGTGTGATCGAGATGACCTCTCATTCATGCGAGTAGCTGCAACTCGTCTGATCTTATTGCCCTGCATCATGTTCTCCATAACTTTATCAACATTGTCTACGACAGCTTCCCTTGCATCAAGCAGCACATTTCCTTTGATATCTTCTCATAGTTAAACCCTGATTGCTCTTATCCAGGAGGTCATTGATCTTTTCATTGTAGATTTCAATATAACTGCATCTAATCAAGTACCTCTTATCAACCTGGTCTGCCACATGCTGGAATAACTGATTGGATACTAATTGGAAAAGCCCAGGATCTGTTTTATTGCCCAAAATGGTGTGTGTTTTGCCAGAAGATGTTTGGCCATATGCAAATATTGTGGCATTGAAACCTTCCATGAAGGAATCGACTAAAGGTTTTACTACAGATCCATATACATCTGAATTTGTACATTCCTGATTAAATACATGGTCGAATATATAAACCTCTCCATGGCGACTACTTTCATCGGCTTCCCATATGCAGTTTACTCTTACGTTCCAAAGACGCTCTAGACCATCGGCTACTTCGCGGTGGATCATTGGTCTGATCTTTGTGGCTACTTTAATATTGTTGGAAGTCATTTTGGAAGCTTGAACTGAAATTTAATTAGAACTAGGGCTATTTCACGGGTTATAAAGAGGGGCAGATGTATCAGGTTGATACATTCTTTTTTTCCTCCTTTCCAGTATAGAAGATTTTTTTCTCTTGTAGGCTATGAATGCGGCGGTCCGATAGTTTAGTAGAGCTACATTTACAGGGTGACTCAAAATCAAAGAAGAAACAGAATTGTTAAATTTCATATAGACTGTTATTGTTATTACAAAAAGAAGTTGAAGCAGCAGCAAATTCTCACAAATCTATAGATCCATCACTTTCAGCACCCGATTTTTCAACTTGAAAAATGCAGCTCGGTGAAGAATCACAAGGTAACTGTTGTCTATTCAGACAATACTCTTCTAAAAGCAACGCGAAGTTACCTAGTGCCTTACATGAATCGCCTTCATAATTCTTCATTATTGTCAATGGAAAACTGAAATTGTTGATTATTACAGTTTTTAATGCTTCAAATAAACAGATGGTGTTCGTGTTGGAAATCCCACGTCTAATCTCGCAAAACAGGTTATCCACCGGATCTTACTATCAACATCTGAAATGCCATTACTGTTTTTAGCCATGTGTACAACAGGTTTGTACGCATAAGACACTCTTACATGAAAACTGTTTATTGTCTAAAAACGAAAATACCCCATTGAAGATGAGTAATGCAATAAATATAATCCTCGAAACTTGAACTGTAATATGAACATAAAAAAACTAACAAAATGGGCCATTTAACAACATATTTGGTGTTGATATTCTACAACAAAAACAAATACTTTCTCGTATAAGGAAACATACAATAATTAACATTTTCACTTTTCACGAAACAATGTAAGTGCGCTGTGACTTTACATACTTATTACAGATTGTAGAACATTTTTTTCATTGTGTATTGTCATGTAACACCTACGTCGTTTTTTTTCTTTAACAACTGCATCAGGATCGAGAACTCTGGGCTGAGAAGTAGACGGCTTACTTTATTCGTCGTTGGTAATTTAGGATTCTTTGCATGGCTGAACGAAGCTCCCTAGGAAGTCTTGGATCTGATAAACGTCCTCTCATACGAAGTTAAATTAGAGTTTGCCTCAGGGGAACAATAAAATTTCGTCGCCTAATGGAACTTTCAGTCCCAGACTGAAAAAAAAGGAATTTACAGAAGCTGGTTGGATACCAAATAGCACAAGGCCATCTTCTCGTTCTCTAACCAGTATTGTAATTTACACACTTCCGATCTAATGCATTACCCCCCGCCTTCATAGTGTTATAAAAATAATATAGGATCTTATCAGGTTTCTTTGATTCCTCTACTATTTTGTTATCATGCTGCATAGATTGCTATACGAGAACATGTGTATTTGGTTTTGGAAGATACTACTCTAAGGCTGTACAACATAAACTTAGAAGTACCTGGCTGTGTTTCCTTCTTATTTGGAACTACATGTTGGGGTACTTGTTACTTATTTTTACGCTTCCTGCCGACATAGGTCAGTTGGTTGATGCGCAATTCTACATGTAATTCTACTGACGTGAACCAGTCATCTGCTGTGATATTTCTGTTCGTATAGACGAAAGCATTGAGCAGGTAGTGGTGAGTCTTTGCATCATCAGTCCATACTTATTCGGTTTAGTTTTCTTGTAGGCACAGGAAGGACATCGGCCCACGAGCATCTCGTATTTTGTAGGGGACTCACCCGAAATATAACAATTTCGACAGTTCTCTATGAGTGTCTCGAAAATTTCACGTATTTGGAGAAATTTATCGGCATTTCTCGAGTCACAGGGTTATTATTTTCCAAATTGGTTGCCACGGACTTTAGTTCAGGTAAATGCGTAATAATCGACCAGTTGCAGGCGCTCGTTTTGACCAATTGTACATGTTTTTTCCATAGGCATAGCGAGGTCGCCCATAGGAAGTTGTTCAGGTTGATCGATAAGCGTCGTCGTCATCGGCAAAAGTCAACAAACCAACAATTGTGATGTTTAAATTAAACTGTGGTTTGAGGTATACGTGCTCATACCGTATGAGAAGTCACGGGACCCCCACCACATAACTGAGAAAGCTCGAATCATCCGACGATATCATTAAAGGATTAATTTCTATATTCTTGAACGAATCTATAAAATCAAAGTGGCTGGGTTTCAATTTACATAGCTCTTTGTATGGTCTTGTTTGCTGATCAACATTATATGATTTCTAGACATGTTCAATCTGTGCAGCTTCTTCACTTTCATATTAATGTCAATAAGAGCATTTCATCCATTTTTGAATAAATGTGGTTCATCACAAATTGTAGAAATACTCTGAGCATTGACTATAAAATGGAATGGACTTGATCCGTGAGTATTCTCCGAGCAAATCGTCTCAAGTGCGTTTTTGATCGTTGCGCCCTGATTAGAAATAGTGCCAACAACGCACAAACCAAGTCGCTGCTAGTTTGTGATCACATGAACAATAATCGTTTTCAGATCTGGGATTCTTGTATCTTTTACTAGATAATAAGCCACAACCTGCTTATAATTTTTACGAATCCCTCTTATCATGGAAGTAAGGGCATGATTTCTGATAAATCACTTTTTCAGAGTTCTAGTTGATTTTGTTACCTCAGAATTCAAGATTTATTAGCTGAAAATTGTACACTGTGAGCACTGGGATCAGCCCTAAACTTTGTCCAAACCCTGCAATAATCGTAAACACTAAACAAGGGTAGACATATTTCTAGTTTAACTGCCTGAAGATTTTCTCTATGGTTTATACGTAACTCTCCACCTATTATCTCATTTTTGTACATGTTCTGGGAGAACTCAACTTGCTCCCTATAAAATGCAACGTCTTCCTGCACAGGTGGTTCTGGTTAAGTGCCAGCCTGCTTCGGGTTTGTAATTAGTTGTTGCAATTTTCTGATTTCGTCGTCCTTTTTCATAATCCAGATTTCGTTTTGGCATTCCAGTTCAGCCATTTGATCCTGAAGCTCTTTTATAGTAGAATCATTATGGCATCGTATATCTGAGATTTTAAATGAGTGGTTGACCTCACGTTGGTTACTCTCGTCCATCAGACTCTTTACGTCATTTCTCAGTTTAGATTCAAGTTCTTTTAGGAAGCCAATTTCATCTTGCAGTTCAGCAATGTGTGACATCGTTACATCAGTTTGTGCAGCAGCACTTAAAGAATGTTGCATATCTTCGTACTCAGCGTCAAGCATAGCTTCTAAGTCTGCAACCTTCTTTTTTGACTCAATATTTTGAGCTTCAAGAGATGGTTTAGGGCTCTCTGATCTTCCTAGGTTCTTCAGTTGAGTACGCAGCATCTCTATTTCTGACTCGTATGTTTTTAGTCTTTTTATTATTTTTTTCCAGAAAATCGAGTCTGTATTGCAAGTCGATGAAATTCTTGCGCTTTTTGAGAATTTTTTTGAACTCTTTCTATTTCTTCGTTGTACGCATCCGTTACTTGGCGGAGTTCCTGACTGTAACGATCGAATTTAGAATTGGCTTCTGTGAGCTGTTTCTTCAGGTCCAAAATCTCCAGCTGATTATCTAGTTTAGTGAATTCTCTAAGCTCATTGAAAGATTCTTCCAGTTCTTTGAGTTGTCTTTTAAGTACACTTGCACGTCTTCAGCTATCACAGATTCTGCTTCGGCTAGTGCCTCCTCATATGTCTCTTCTTGAATAGGCCTCATTTCACGTCCGGATGATTCTTCTTTGGGTGGATAATTTTTCAATGGCATATACCCTAGGGATGCTTTTTTAGGTGATACGTTGCCATAGTGTCCAAAAGTATGACGTCTTAATGTTTTTTTCGGTGTTGATGCCGAGGCTCCCATTTGAAAGCGCCCGACAATAGATACTTCCGTTTTTAGTCTTTCTATCTCGAGCAGATACTCTTGTTTGCTTTTATCCATCTCTTTTAGCTTAATTGCCTGCTTTTTGAGCCGAGTTTCGAGATCGCGAGTCAAGTTCTGATATCCTTGAAGTGTCTCTTCTGTAGCTGACAAGATGTTTACTTTCGTTTTATTTTTGACAGTTTTAGTGCTTTGGGCGAATTCTGGTGTAGATCTAGTCTCCTCCTCTGCAGCTAAAGTAACATTCCCGATAATCAATGATTTGGCATTACCGCCAAGAGCCTGTGAGAGCAGTCTAGTCAATTTCGAATCGCGATAACTGATAAACTCCTTCCCCTCGCTTAGTTGCCTTATCACATTTCCTAATACTGACAAAGATTTGTTTATGTTAGCCCCCTCTTTAAGACGCTCACCAGCAGCTTTCGTCAGAGAAACTCTCTCAGAACCAGCTAAGTCCATTAAGTTAAGGTAGCTTATATGTACAGGTCCATCTTTCTGATTGGCATCTTTCGACTCCAGAATAATCCGGAAAATCGTGTGTGATCGAGATGACCTCTCATTCATGCGAGTAGCTGCAACTCGTCTGATCTTATTGCCCTGCATCATGTTCTCCATAACTTTATCAACATTGTCTACGACAGCTTCCCTTGCATCAAGCAGCACATTTCCTTTGATATCTTCTCTTATAGTTAAACCCTGATTGCTCTTATCCAGGAGGTCATTGATCTTTTCATTGTAGATTTCAATATAACTGCATCTAATCAAGTACCTCTTATCAACCTGGTCTGCCACATGCTGGAATAACTGATTGGATACTAATTGGAAAAGCCCAGGATCTGTTTTATTGCCCAAAATGGTGTGTGTTTTGCCAGAAGATGTTTGGCCATATGCAAATATTGTGGCATTGAAACCTTCCATGAAGGAATCGACTAAAGGTTTTACTACAGATCCATATACATCTGAATTTGTACATTCCTGCTTAAATACATGGTCGAATATATAAACCTCTCCATGGCGACTACTTTCATCGGCTTCCCATATGCAGTTTACTCTTACGTTCCAAAGACGCTCTAGACCATCGGCTACTTCGCGGTGGATCATTGGTCTGATCTTTGTGGCTACTTTAATATTGTCGGAAGTCATTTTGGAAGCTTGAACTGAAATTTAATTAGAACTAGGGCTATTTCACGGGTTATAAAGAGGGGCAGATGTATCAGGTTGATACATTCTTTTTTTCCTCCTTTCCAGTATAGAAGATTTTTTTCTCTTGTAGGCTATGAATGCGGTCCGATAGTTTAGTAGAGCTACATTTACAGGGTGACTCAAAATCAAAGAAGAAACAGAATTGTTTAAATTTCATAAGACTGTTATTGTTATTACAAAAAAAAGTTGAAGCAGCAGCAAATTCTCACAAATCTATAGATCCATCACTTTCAGCACCCGATTTTTCAACTTGAAAAATGCAGCTCGGTGAAGAATCACAAGGTAACTGTTGTCTATTCAGACAATACCTTCTAAAAGCAACGCGAAGTTACCTAGTGCCTTACATGAATCGCCTTCATAATTCTTCATTATTGTCAATGGAAAACTGAAATTGTTGATTATTACAGTTTTTAAGCTGCAAATAAACAGATGGGTGTTCGTGTTGGAAATCCCACGTCTAATCTCGCAAAACAGGTTATCCACCGGATCTTACTATCAACATCTGAAATGCCATTACTGTTTTTAGCCATGTGTACAACAGGTTTGTACGCATAACACTCTTACATGAAAACTGTTTATTCCTAAAAACGAAAATACCCCAATTGAAGATGAGTAAGCAAAAATATACTCGAACTTGAACTGTAATATGAACATAAAAAACTAACAAAATGGGCCATTAACAACATATTTTGGTGTGATATTCTACAACAAAAACAAATACTTCTCGTATAAGGAAACATACAATTTACATTTATCACTTTTCACGAAACAATGTAAGTGCGCTGTGACTTTACATACTTATTACAGACTGTAGAACATTTTTCATTGTGTATTGTCATGTAACACCTACGTCGTTTTTTTTCTTTAACAACTGCATCAGGATCGAGAACTCTGGGCTGAGAAGTAGACGGCTTACTTTATTCGTCGTTGGTAATTTAGGATTCTTTGCATGGCTGAACGAAGCTCCCTAGGAATCTTGGATCTGATAAATGTCCTCTCATACGAAGTTAAATTAGAGTTTGCTCAGGGGAACAATAAA